GTTGGGGGAAGGAAGAGTGCCAAATTGGGAGTCAAGATGCCTGGTTTTTGACCCCTGCTCTGTTCTTAACTTGCTTTGTGACCTTGGGCGAATCGCTTCCCTTCTCTGGACTGGATCACTGCTGCCCAAATGTGTTTGGCCTCAGATAATTTGTATCAGAATCCATGGACATGCAGATTCCTGATCTTCACCCTAGAGGTACAGAATCAGAATTTCTAGGGGTGAAACTTCCCTGGTGGTCCAGTGGTTAAGAATCTGCCTGCCAATGCAGGGGACAAGGGTTCAAGTCCTGGTCCAGGATGATTCCACATGCTGCAGAGCAACTAAGCCCGTGTGCCACGATTACTGAAGCCTATGCACCCGAAGTCCATGCTCCGCAACAAGAGAAGTCACTGCAATGAGAAGCCCACGCCCTGCAATGAAGAGTAGCCCACACTGGCCGCAACTAAAGAAAGCCTGCACACAGCAATGAAGACCCAGTGCAACCAAAAATAAATAAATGAATATTTTTTAAAAGGAAAGATTTTCTGATTAAATTTCTTTTTTAAAAAAAGAAAGGTCCCAGGAGTGGTCACCCAGAGCACCGTACATGGTTGCAACTTGCATTCTATGCTGGTACCCTTTGGAGGTAACATGGGCTGAGCCTTTGGTTCTAACAATCTGTGCTTGACGGCGTCATTTCTTAAAGTGGGTCTTTGTATTTGCAGTGAGAGTGTGCCTTGTCCAGAAGAGGCAAGAGCCGAGGGGATAGGTGCCAGGCAGGGACTGGAGGGGGCTGTTGTGCCTTATCAAACTGGAGAATTGCTCCATAGAGGGGACCTGAGGGCAGTTCTGTGAAGGATGAGTAAGTCTTATCTGGAGTTGTGAGAGTGAGTGGTGTTCTGGGAGGACAGGGTCAGAGAGCATCTGGGACTAGGCATGGGCTGACCTCAAACATGCACAGCTCTGCTGCTCAGCACCCCGCCCAAATCTCCTGCTTCTGGACAAGAGACACCACAGGGTACCTGCCTAGGAAAGCAGGCTACTCAAGCCCTTGTCACCCCCACTGCCCTGAGATGCCTCGGGTCGGCTCACAGCTGACAGTCTGCAAATACACTGGCCAGTAAGGAGGTCAGCAGCCACATGTGACTACTTAATTTTAATTAATTAAAATTCAGTTGGATAAAAAAATGAACAGGTAAATAAAGCAGGACAGATAAAGGTAAATATGTGAAATGATGGATTAACATGAGAGGTGGAACCCTTTAAATTTTAATTAATTAAAATTCAATTGGCTAAAAAGCAAATAGATGGATAAAGCAGATATTTACCAGGAAAAGGTAAATATGTGCAGTGACTGTTGTTCAGTCGCTCTGTCGTGCCCAGCTCTTTGCAACCCCATGGACTGCAGCATACCAGGCTTCCCTGTTCTTCATCATCCTTGGGAGTTTACTCAAACTCATGTCCATTGAGTCGGTGATGTCCATCTCATCCTCTGTCGCCCCCTTCTCCTCCTGCCGTCAATCTTTCCCAGCATCAGGGTCTCTTCCAATCAGTTGGCTCTTCGCATCAGGTGGCCACAGTATTGGAGCTTCAGCTTCAGCATCAGTCCTTCCAACGGATATATTAATTAACCCGATGAGGGGGGAGGGATCCTTTCACAACATATCAGTTCAGTTCATTCAGTTCAGTCACTCAGTCGCGTCCAACTCTTTGTGACCCCATGAACCACAGCACGCCAAGCCTCCCTGTCCATCGACAACTCCCGGAGTTTACTCAAACTCATGTCCATTGAGTTGGTGATTCCATCCAANTGGCAATCTTGATTCCAGCTTGTATACGTATATCAAATTTTCCCACTGTGCCATTTAAATACCGTACAGTTTTGTCAACTATGCCTCAAAATAGTTGGGGGGGGGTTATATATTTATTTATCTTTTCATTTATCAATTCAGTTCCTTGGTTGTACTAGTCACGTTTCCTGTAGCTAATAGTACCAAGTGGGATCACACAGATTATAAAACATTCTGTCTTCACAGAAGGTTCCTCTATACAGCACTGTTCTGAAGGAGGCAGAAACCTTATTCATCTTTCTCTTCTACCCATCCGCTGGCTGCATGTTTGTAACCATACGAGAATACTTAGGAATTTACTCTGCCCAGCCCCGGCTGCTTTCTGGAATAAACACCCCATCCAAACCCTAACTCAGGGAAGCCTTGGGCGGCTCTCGCTAACACAGGCATGCCTGGCTGTCTGCCTTGCCCATTACTCACAGCCCTTCTGACACCAAGTCCTCATTCCTCATTTCTCCCTGTAACCACTGGCTCCTCCTCTGAGCCTGTCTGACTGACTCGAAGGTTTCCGAAGCTCGCTTTTATATCACAGGCACACAGCTTCACTAGCTGTGTGAAGGCTAGGTGCTTTGCTAGGTGCTGTGTGAAGACGTTGGAGGTGGAGTGGGAAGGAGCACTGGAAAAGGCGTTTTGGCATCTCGCCTGTCCCAGCCCCATGCAGCTCAGTGAACATGCTTTTTGTTCATCCAGGCATGGGCATTCCCATCTCCCAGCATCACTGGGTGTTCACTCCTCCCCCATCACAGCCTGTTATTTAGACTCCTTGGGCGGACCTTAGAAAACACAGCCCCTGACCAGGGCCACTCAGCCCTCCTCTCCCCACCCGTCCTCCTTCTCTGGCATTCCCCCTTCCTGATGGAGCTGGGGCTAAGCCCTGGGCTGGGCTGTGGGCACCAGACAGAGCAAGAACTCCTCTCTTCTCTTGAGGCATCCACCATCCACCGGAGAGGTCGACATAAGCACAGCGGGACATGGGGCGGGAGTTTGGATGGCACAATCTGGGTAAAGAGACGGTGGAAGAAAGTGGAGATGTCCCTGGGTCTCTCTCCTGCTCCAGGAGGATGCATACGAAAGGACTCTCAGCCAAGGCTTTCTTTTGTCTAAACTCCGCTGTCCTCCTCATCTAGATAGCGAGAGCCCTGCCCACCCTCCCTCCCACTCCACCTGCCCTGTGCCCCCGACCCTGGGATTCTCACCAGCTCCAGGCGTCTCCTCTGCCTTGATCACCAGCTCCCAGTCTTTCCTGGGTCCTGCACAGTCACACGCCCGGCTCCAGCCCTTCCGTCCTCCTCACCTTTCTCCTCTGTGCCAGCTTTAGAGCTTGTCCCCATGCTATGGCCCTGGTATTGACAATCCCCCTTCCTTGACCTCTGACCTCTACCACTACCACCCCCCATCTTAACTGATTTCTGCATTTACCCATCCTCTCCCCATTCTCTGCTTTTGGAACACTCTTTGATGTGGACTCTAGATTGGCCTTGCCCTTTAATGCGTGAGTGAGGTTGGAATCACAGATGTCTCCCTCATCCATTCAACAATCATTCCCTGGATGCCTGCAAGATGCCCTAGTGGAAAAGACAGTGAGATAAAGGATGATGATGTGGTGTGGCAGAGGCTTTGCTAGGTGTATGTGAAGAATACAAGCAAGCAGGAGAAGGAGTTGCTCTGGGTGGGGCTGAGGGCTGAACCTTCATTGATGAGGAGGGCAATGGTCAGTCAGATGGACCAAGTAGCTCTCTAGACTCCTCTGTCCATGGAATTCTCCAGGCAAGAACACTGGAGTGGGTAGCCACTTCCTTCTCCAGGGGATCTTCCTGACCCAGGGATTGAATCCAGGTCTCCCAGTAAAGGTAGATTCTTTACTATCTGAGTCACCGGGAAAGCCCAAGTAGAAAGACATTCCAGGACAAATGAGATGATGCAGTGCACCCCTGCCTAGCAGAGATCAGTAACAACCAATCCGATTGTTGATCAGGGATCGGTAACAGCCAATCCGGTGGCCCTGATGGGTTGAACCACGTGGTGCCATGAAGCAGAGCTGCTGGGAAGGAGCTGGAAAGGAGGCGGGTGAAGGGAGGCGGGTGAAGGCGATTGGGCTCCTTGTAAGTGACTCGGGTTTGCATTTTGGAAAGTTCATTCTTCAGGCTATTTGCAAAGAATAAGACAGAGAAGGAGGCCCAGGAGAGAGTGAAGGATCCCATAGGTGCATTCCCTACCAATTTTGAGCACCAACACATAGGATGAGCCAGGCCCTGCCGTCCCATCCCTCCCTGCCATGCCTTCCACCGGTCACTGCCAGAGACAGAAAAAGGGGAGGAGCTTCTCTTCTAGTTGCCCATTTCCTGCAGCTCCAAGGGGCTTGCAAGCATTCTGACTGCAGCATCATTGTGTGTTCATTCTCCTGATCCCCTTGCCTCGACTCAGCTCATTGCCCAGTAGAGAAGTTAGTAAACAAAAAGCAGAGGTGCAGTCAACATAACATTGTAAAGCAATTATCCTCCAATCAAAAAAAAAAATGTTAAGAAAAAGAAAAAGCATAGGTGCTTGACTCACTTTATAATCCTCCTGTAGTTTTGGAGACTGAAGCAAGGAGCTGTTGGCCTAAGTGACCTGAATTCTTTTCTGATGAGTACTGTACCAGATTGCCACAAAATTACTGGCATCAAACAACCCAAATTTATTATCTTACAGTTCTGGAAGCCAAAAGTCAAAAAGTGCGTTTCAAGGTATCGGCAGGGCTGCATTCCTGCTAGAGGCTTGAGGAGAAAATTCCATTCCCTTGCCTTTTCCAGCTTCCTGAAGCTGCCTACATCCCTCGGCCTGTGGCTCCCTCCTCCATACTCAAAGCCAGAAGCAGAGCATTTTTCCATATCTCTCTGACTCTGATCCTCCTGCCTCCCTCTTCTAAAGATCCTTGTGATCCTGTTGGGCCACCTGGATCACCAAGGACAATCTCCCCACCTCCAAATCTTTGGTTACATCTGCAGCATCCTTTTCCAATGTAAGGTAACAAAGCTGTTGTTTCCAGAGATGCAGATGTGCACATCTCTGGGGGGCTGTGGTTCTGCTGTGGAGCCTTCCCAGCATCCTTTTGAGTCCTTCAACCCCAGGAATCCCTGAGCTTCCGTTGTCACTGACCCATGGCTCTGTCTATCTTTGTTCTTTCAGAGGAAACGACGTTTGAAGCAGGCGTGAAGGTTCAGATCCACAGTCAGTCTGAGCCGCCTTTCATCCAAGAGCTGGGCTTTGGGGTGGCACCAGGGTTCCAGACTTTCGTGGCCACACAGGAGCAGAGGGTAAGTCCCCGGGGCTCTNGCTCTGTCTATCTTTGTTCTTTCAGAGGAAACGACGTTTGAAGCAGGCGTGAAGGTTCAGATCCACAGTCAGTCTGAGCCGCCTTTCATCCAAGAGCTGGGCTTTGGGGTGGCACCAGGGTTCCAGACTTTCGTGGCCACACAGGAGCAGAGGGTAAGTCCCCGGGGCTCTGTGGGATCAGAGGTCCTTGGCCTGGTCTCTGAGCCACCTGCCACGTGAGGTAGAGAAACAGGATTCTCACTCATGGAAGGCTCAGAATCCACCCAGGAGGCTGGAAGGAGTAGGGTTGGGCTCAGTGAAAACCCTCACTCTGAAATTGAAGAAAGGTATCCGTTGACCTCTGTATGTGGATTCTCCTGGACCGCCTGGCGATTCTGAAATTGGACGTGAGGGAAAACCAGCCTGTTTTCTTTTTCAGTGAACTGGTTGGGGTTTTTTGTTTGTTTGGTGTTTTTTTCTAAAACATTCTGGGGGAAAATCTTTGTGATGGTGAGGTGAAAAGCCAGTGGATCCTAGGGGAATCTGCTCACCAGGGTTTGGTGTGTTTCATCACTCTGGTAATACATTGCCAGGTGGCCTGACAGAAGGAACAGAGACAGGCATCAGTCTCTGTTATGGAGTTTAATTGGAGAGAAGCCTCTTCCTGAGTCAATGTCTGCTCTCTGATTCAGAACCAGGGGAGGGACCCTCCCAGCCAGCCAGCCAGGATGGCTGCGTCAACTCAGCACGGCCACGGAATATGGACTGGCATAGATGTGACANGAGACAGGCATCAGTCTCTGTTATGGAGTTTAATTGGAGAGAAGCCTCTTCCTGAGTCAATGTCTGCTCTCTGATTCAGAACCAGGGGAGGGACCCTCCCAGCCAGCCAGCCAGGATGGCTGCGTCAACTCAGCACGGCCACGGAATATGGACTGGCATAGATGTGACATATGCTACATGTCTCAGCTGGGAGACCTTCATAGATTCTCAGTGGGGAGGAGGTCTCAAAGCAGGACTGCAGAGAGACACTGGGATGGATGCTTTTTTTGTCTTCATTTCCTGGTTTGCTTAGAATAAAAGCTGGAGAGCCTAGTATCCTGAGGGAGTCCTAAACCAGGTCACCCAAGACAATTTGCCCTGGGAGGCCTGGAGTGAAGAGTGAGGTGAATGAGTGACAGGGAGCCCAGCTCTAGAGTGTGAGGAAGGGAGGGCCCAGAGAACAGGGAGGCGCAATGAGATCCACATGTGACTTAAGAGCTCAGCTTGCTTGTAAAATATGGCTCAAATCATCTTTCATCCAGTACTTAGCCATTTTATAGAGCGATCTTCTGTATTGGAAACTGGTTTTAGGGATGTCTGTGGTGGACTAGTGGCTCAGACCCCACGCTTACAATGCAGGGGACCCGGGTTCGATTCTATGGTCAGGAAACTAGATCCCACATGCCTGCAACTAAGATCTTACGTGCTGAAACTAAAGATCCACTTCTTTAAAATCCACATCTAAAGACCTGGCCCAGCAAATAAATAAATACAGTAAATAAATAATTTTTAAGTGAAAAAAAGAGAAACTGTTTTTAAATCTCTAAGTGAAGAAAGTGTTAGTTGCTCAGTCGTGTCTGACTCTTTGTAACCCCGTGGACTGTAGCCTACGAGGCTCCTCTCTCCATGGGATTTCCCAGGCAAAAATACTGGAGTGGGTCACCGTGCCCTCCTCCAGGGGATCCTCCTGACCCAGGGATCAAACCCCTGTCTCCTGCTTTGCAGGCAGCTTCTTTACATCTGAGCCAAATCTCTACGAGAGCTGTATTTTTGAATCTCTGGGAAAGCACTGAACTTACATGGGCCTCATGAACTTACTGTACTTAACACCTGGGCAGTTGCTAAAAGTCATGGTCAACCTCCGTGGCAGAACGTAGCAGGTGGGGTGGCAGCCCCGAGGCAGGGGTAGAGGAGGCTTGGAAGTTGGTCCAGCATCTACAGGCCCCAGAGATGGAGGCAGACGGTGTGGGCAGAGGTGGAGTGGTCAAGAGTGTGCAAGGTGGGAGCCAAGTGGAGCAACCAGAAAACATCATCCTAGAGGACATGAAGCTGACCACAGGGAGCCAGGTTCAGGGCTGAGGATTTGAGTCAGGAAGAGTGAGAACACAGACTCACAGGTAAGGTGTGCAGAGAGCCCGGAGCCCAAGATATGAGCCTGGGTGTAATGGCCAGCGTTCGAGTACTGTCAGAGATCAACAAAGTCGGACACTCGTTAAAGCAGCGAGGACAGATTAAATCAGTCATATACCATTGCAGTAGGAACAAGGTTCATCATGAACTGAACTCAACTGCGATTTGTGCAGAAGGCACTTGGATTTTTAAAGGGAAAATGAGGGGGAAGGGTGGGACACAGAGGGCGCTTGAGCAGAGTCAGGGAATTGAAAATTACAAAAGGTGGGAAAGTTGGAGGGGGCTGGTCAGTGCATGTGAAACCCATCTGAGTTTGCTAATAAAACCCCATCATAGTTAGGCTCCTCCCCTCCTGCAGAGGCAGGAAGACAGGGATCCCGCCTTCCCATGGTGGCCTGCAAAAACAAACAGTAAGCTCTTGAGTTTACTTGGCAGCCTTGAGTCCTCAGGCAGGTACTTTAAGGGAGCTGGGGCATCCCAGGGACTTGGGTTGAACCATGAGAAACTATGTTAGTGTAGAAACACGTTGAAAACACAGTCATTTTTGTAAAGAGCTCGAGTTGAATGTTTCCAGAATACTACATATTTTTTGAGCTCGCTGGAGAATTCAGCATTCAGCGTTGCTACCTGAGGGGTTGTCCTCTGTTGGTGTCTTCCTTCTGGGCTCATGTGGCCTAAGTACTATGCTCCCCTGAGCAGCATATTTCATCCAAGCACAATTATATATACAAGCTGCACCTTTTTTGGACTTCTGCTCACCTGTTTTTATTTCCTTTATATAATGTGATTTTTCAGAAGTCAATTGTAAACACTATTCTAATTCTGTTCTTCATCTAAGTGTGTGTGTGTATGTGTGTTAGACGCTCAGTCATGTCCGACTCTTTGCGACCCCATGGACTGTAACCCGCAAGGCTCCTCTGTCCATGGGGATTCTCCTGGCAAGAATACTGGAGTGGGTTGCCATGCCCTCCTCCAGGGGATCTTCCCGACCCAGAGATCGAACCTGGATCTCCTGCAGCGTAGGCATATTCTTTACCATCTGAGTCATTAGTAAAGTTCCCTCCATCCAAAGTATTCATTTTAATGAAAAGTAAGTGCTAATGACCAGAAAGAAAGGAAGGAAGGGAAAGAGGAAGGAAGGGAAAGAGGGAGGGAGGGAAGGAGGAAGAAACTACGATAGTGTTTGTCCTAGCCTTTGTAGGTCAGGGTTGAGACCTCATGGGAAACAAGGGCACCGAGGAGCCTGGCTAGAGTTTGATCAAGGAGAGAATCATTGTCAGTCCGCCCTTCTGTGTGTGTGACGTGAATCTACTCACCTCCCTTGCAAGAACCAGGCAGGAGTTAGACTAATCAGTGTGTCTGTGAAGTCTTTGACTATCTAACAGGGAATTGGGGGCTAGTCGTCCAAGGCAAATATGCCTTTGTGCTTTACTGAAAGTAATCACCACTTCCATCCTGTACTGACTTACCTGTACTGACATCTCTCTGATGTCCGTGTTGCTATTACCATGCAGAAGATATGAAGAGCCTTCCTTGAAACCCATAGGGTCATTCATTTCACTGCTTGTGAAAGCTAAAAAGAAGGAAACTCTCTGTAGGGACAGCAGTGTCATTGGCTTGAAAGATGCCATCTGTCCTCCCCCCGCCCCCATCACTGACCCTCTGCTAGTGACACTGAACAAATTTCTAGGCCAGGTGAGTGGCTGGGACCGATGACTTCTCAGAATCCTTAAGTCTCTTTTTCCTCCCAAAATGAAACAGGGACTCCCCATGGCGATCAGGAAGAGAACATATTCCCAGCTTCAGAGGACAAATTCGTTGTTGGCTTTGAAGTATATTTTCAGAAAATCAGCCTCATTCATATTAGCATTGCTGTGGTTATTATAACTAATAATAAGATATTTGGTTAAACATTTTACAGTCTTCAAAGCATTTCCACACCATCTCATTTCATCATTTCATTCATATTAATAGAGAAATACAAAAACACATCCCGGAGCTAAATCTAATAATACATTATGTTTACATGTATATAAAAGAGCATATTCATAGGAAATAAGACTCGAAGGAAATAAGGCAAAATACCCACTGTGGGGGGATTATGAATGATTTATTTTCTTGTCTGGGTTTGCCACACATTTTATAAGGTGGCTCTGTTTTATTTATTTGTTGAGCAAATATTTGTTGAATACCTACTATGGGTGTGAAGCGATGGGGATACGGCGGTAAGAAAACAAACTAGTGTCTGTCCTCACAAAACCTACATGTTAGTGGTTTCTTTCATATAGAAAAAAAAAATAACCACTAAATAATCTCAAGCCAAGTAGAATTTGGAGATTGGCCACTACTTGTGTTTTCTGCCATTGGTGCTATCCTATCCAGCTGACCCTGGTTCTCTAACATTGATTCTAAGATGTGTGTCCTTTCACATTTTAACATTTCTAAAATTGGGGCTTGTTTCCCAATCAATTGCATGTCAGTTACAATTAGCAGTGCTTTTTCTTTCTTTTTTCTTTTGATTTTATCCCTTCACCATTATTTACTTATTTATTCGGTGGCGTCAGGTCTTTGCTGAGTCAAGCAGGCTCTTTCGCTGCGGCCCACAGACTCTCTAGTTGCGGTGCTGAGGCTCAGCTGCTCCAAGGGATGTGATAACTTAGTTCCCCAACCCTGGGTCAACCCAGGCCTCCTGCATTGCATGGTGGATTCTTAACCACTGGACCACCAGGGAAGTCCCACTTTTTCTTTCTTGATGGCCCGTGAAAATCGTGATGGTCTTAACAATCTATAGCAGCTTCACTATTCCCATTCCAGGATTCTGCTCCTTCAG